GTGCCTCCCGCGGCGACCCGCAGTGTGTGTGCACAGGGGCAGCCAGGGCTCTGCTGCGCTCCGACGGGGCTCGGGTTCGGAGACGCTTGGTGCCCTCTCCTGTGCACAGCTGCCTGAGGTGCCCATGCCCTGGCAGGAGCCAAACCAGCCGGGTTTTGCTCTCCTCGGGGCAGGGCAGGGTCGGGCTTTTGCATCCAGCGTGCACATAGACATGGGGGTGGGAACCTTGGTCAGGTAATTTCACAGCCCTGAACTCTTCCATGGGTTTAGATAAGTGCTCTTGCTGAGATAAGTGTCACGGTGCTTCTGCTCCTTGTCTGGAATCGTCTACGGCGTTAGCGGCATCTCCGCAGGCGAAACCACGCGCGTTGCTCCAGCATCTGGGCGAGCTCAGGCTTCCGCGCTGCTGGGGCGCGGGCACCACCGCCCCCCGAAGTTGTGCCCGGCCCCAGCATGGGGCTGCCGCTGCGGCCCTTGGCCCTGCGCTTCCTCGCCCTGACCTTCCCCTTGGTGGCCAGGGGCTTTCCCGACGAGACGCTGGAGAAAGCCGCCAAGTCGGAGGGCTACTGCAGCCGGATCCTGCGAGCCCAGGGCACTCGGCGCGAAGGCTACAACGAATTTAGCCTCAGGGTGGAAGGCGACCCTGAATTTTACAAGCCTGGGAACAGCTATCGGGGTAAGTGGGCTGCTCTCCGCTTCCGAAAATAAGAATAGCAGGCAGAACAAGTGTCGCTGAAACTCCGAAGCGACACTGCCCGTCCCCTCCGTGTCCCTCCTGTGGGCTGTGCGTGCAAAGGACGCCGTGGGCTGCGGCAGGCACTTCACTGGGGATGCTCTTGTGGCAAGTGAGAGAGAGTTGCGTTGCCCAGGATCACTTTATTCCCAAATCTCAGCTTTATGCCCAGAGGAAAATCCCCTGCCTTTAGTGGATTCTCACACAGGATGGCACGTTGGTGTGGCACAGGAAACGCGCTCTTCCCCCTGCTCACCTGGCCCCGCGGGGTTTCTCCCTACCCTGCTCGATACAGCATGGTGGCTGGAAGCCTTAACATCCAGCAGAGAGGAGCGGAAACTCGGTGGTAGCTGCTTTTGCCCTGAAACGTGAATGCTAATATAATGAGTAAGCATATGGGCAAACAGTGATGCAGGAGGCTGCCAACTTCCCACACTTTCTACTTATGTTTATCCCCTATCCCTCCTTTTCTTTTTTTTTCCCTTCTTTTTTTCCGGGAGAATGAACAGATGGTGCAAACAGGGAAGAGGCAGAGATGGTGCTAATGACCACTGTAAATAAGAGATGGAGGCTTCATTATGTGCTGAGCTTTTCATATACAGTCTTTGAAATCAGCTTCAACTTCCAGAGCACATTTCAGCCTATTTTTCTAGCTAATAGGTACAGGCAACCTTCGGTCACTTGGTTTGCCTCAGCAGATGATACTTTTTTTTTCAAAGTAAACCTTCCTGGAATATGCTGTTAACTTTGTTTTTCCTAAGTACTTTGGAAAGAAATTGGGCACAGTGCGTGAAATGATCAGATGATAAAGTGTTCCGTTTTCTAAGCAAAATGAATAGTGTCCTGGAGAAACTGTTTTGAGCATTTGGATATAACTTTGTAGGGTTATTGTATTAAAATCATCTCTCAATAGTGTATTTTAATACATTGTGAGGAAATATCCATTCCCTAGAAATAAGTGAGCTGTTTCAGACATCAAAATTGGTATGTTGAGTCCGAAAGGCTTCAAGTTGCATATCAGTTGATAAGTGTTCAAGGTAGGATAGAGGCAAGTGTTGAGTTCTTTCACAGGGATAAACATGTGAATGTCCTTAAAGCATTTCATGAGTTATCTCCAGAAGAGTTACAGGATATTTTCGGTCATCTACTAAAGAAGTTTCTATTATATGGACATGTAGTGGGAAAAGAAACTCCCAATTGAATTAGCACAGAGAATTTTGCAGCTGTATTAGGTTGTGGCATTTAGAGCTCAATTGATAAAAATAGTATACTGTAGCTTCTTAGAAGTGAGAAAGTTTTATTACAGGTAATAGTAAAAGGTTAAAAGGTAGGTCAAATTAGTCCTGCAGGGTTTTTGTATTTAAGATGAAAGTATTCAGGTGGCACTGATGCTTATATCACTTTAAGGACACTTTCTGGTGGTAGAAAGAATGTGAGTGAAAGCTCCCGTAACAACTGTGTTGTCTATGGCATTAGTTAATGGCATTACAGAAAGTTTTAAGAGTTCATTTTAAAAGAAAATTCCACAGCACAACCAGAACTATACCTCTATTTTATACAAAAATAGAGAAAAGCCAACTAATAATAAACCTGCGGGAATACATAAATCTTTTTGATTTTTGTTGTGTTTTTTAAATCTTGTACAACACTGCAGAAGATTCTCACAACCACCATTGATTTGCAGCCAAATCTGCCTGTTCCCATACCCCCCTGTCTGATTTAATGCCGACAGGGTCTGTGGCACGTTCCCTGGCAGGCCCTGGAGTAAAGTAGGTTTTATGCCAGGTGGATGGCACAGGAATTAACTCCACAGACAAAACCAGTGCTCCAGCCAGTTGAGGTACGGATACCTCCATTTATGCCTGCAGCACCATGCAAGACCCTGAGGAAGCCTGGCGGCGTGGGAATCAGAAGAACTAGCTTGCAGCTGCCCCAGGCCTTTGGAAAGCTTTCTGGCCCTTCTTGCAGCTATTGACCTTCAGATCCGCTGGGACTGGGGAGTCTGGGCTAGGGGAGTGCTACCTCCCACCTCCCTGGAGCTGTCGGAGAAGGGAAGGGCCCTGAGCACCGGCCAGTCCTTCTCTGAATAGATGTGCATATCCCCTCCTCCCAGCGCCAGCAGCAGTAAATAGGGGCATTGCTCTTATCTGGGGCATCTACAAAAGCAGCACCGCCTGCAGCCTTTCCTCCCCGTGAGGCGACCGGCAGCCTAGTGCAAGCAGTGCCAGGCACCATGTCCTGCCAACCCAGCATCCAGGTCCCCTCATAGATCCTGGGCCATGCCAGGCTGCTTTTGGTTGTTTTCCAAGGGTGAAGGTGGGATTAGGCTTAGAAAGTGTTACTGCCTAAAGATCTTTGGCAGTGGTCAGTTCTACCTTCCTTGACCTGCAGGGCTAGGTTGCTTGCTTGCACGAGATTCGCATGAAAAATGGAATAGGTTTGTCCTCTTAAAACTATACATAAGAGTTCTGAAACTTAATAGCATGCCTGTTTCTTGTGACAGCATGAAATGCAAATAGTTTCCTCCATAGTCCTGAAATTGTTATTCTGCTGAAGACAGTAAGGATGTGACTAGTATAGTCCTGCTAAATATTCTCTCTGTGGCTGTGCTTTCTATTTTTAATGGAGTTTTCACTGTAAGTCCGTTTACCTCCTCAGTTTTCAAGGCACAGCTCAGTCCATGTTGCACACTTTGCTTGCTTTGGTTTGGGAACTTCTCATTGAATAATGTTGACTCTTCCTCTTTTCGTTCCTTCCTTCCTGAAAACATGCAAACAACTTTTCTATTGTGCATGAAGAAAGCCTCACTCTCTGAGGTGTTTTAGCACCTCTCGCATTGCACAAACTCTTGACAGACGGGATAGCGCAGCCACATCTGTTGGTACGTGCGCAAAGTCTGACGCAGGCTGAGGTGTAACACGGGCCGTGGGAAGTCGGCCATCCTGCCGGACGCCAAGCAGCAATCGCTGCGTGATCCCGGCGGCAGCTGGGCTCCTGTTAAAGCGAAATCTTTGACTTGGAGCCTGGTGTAGGGAGGAGCCACAGTCTCTTGTAAAAGTGCAGCTGTAGCCTGGCCGTTTCCCACTCACATGGACACTGAGCCCCCTTGCTCTGCGTGGAAAACCTCAGCTTGGCCCATCCAGGGCAGAGCCCCCACCACAACCAGGCGCTGTGTTTGTGTTCCTCAAAGGAGAAGCTCAGCCCAGCGTTATCTTAGTGCCCTGTGGGGAGTTATTGTGGGGTCAAGCGACTGTGCAACCGCAGCGCAAGTATTGCTAAGCCCGGACATTCACAAACTGTGAGTCAGCGCTTGGAACGCTCGTCCGCTCTTTTTGCTGGTGAATTTTTGGCATTTCAGGCATCTCCTCTTTAGTAGGTAAGCGTTTTGCTTGGGCTTTGGGAAACTGCTTTGGTTTGAGCTCTAAATTTGTATATAATAATATATAATGTATATAAGAAAAGAATAAGGGAAACCTGTTGAGTCAGTTCATAGCTGGATTTTTCTGCTAGCATCAACATCTAAGTATTCCTAGTGTAACCTTTTATTCCGAGTGATTCAGACTTTTGAATTACATGTAATATATGGAAAAATTGTTGCCTGTACCAGATTTTTATGGGAATTAGCTTCTAGGAAGCAGTCTTGACGAGAGTGTAATGGGTTCATCCTCAGTGAGTTCAGGAGTGCTGTTCTCAATTACTGCCACCGAGAGGCCGGCCTAGGGTTTTTATTTAGATAATGTTGCAGAAGTTTGCAAAATTGGGTTAAGAATTAATAGGGAGATAATGGACTAATAAATGGGATCAGTACTTGAAAAGTAATTAGATATTTTAACCCTATTATTCTACTACCCAGTTTATGTAAATGTGAAAATACTCTCTCTCCTCCCAAACGAGGAGGTCTGACTGTTTTATCAGGTTCCTTCAAGTGAATAGAGAAGTGTGCTGAAAATCACGGTAGCTGTGGGACTCGCTCGTATGCCCGCCGTGCACTGCGTCTGTTCAGGCCCTTGCAAAGAGCAGTGACCCTGCCTGGGCTGATGGGGCGCGTTCATTCTCCGCGGCTCCGGGCGGAGAAGGCGGCTTCACGGAGAGGACTGAAGCGAGCTGTGCTTGGCCCCCGCGCTTGACGCCTGCTTTGGCAGTCGCAGCCGGTGGCGCAATTTCGGAGGCTGGTTTTAGCCACGAGTGAAGCGGCGCGTTCAGTCCTGCCCTGAGGCCGGGAGAGTGTTGTGGCAGGGGCCGAGCGCCGTGCGGGGCGCAGTGCAGCCAGAGCCCGTGGGACGGGAGGTGTGCGCCTGCCTAGATTGGCTCTGGGCAAAGAGTGGCACCAAGGCTGAAGCCAAACACTTCGGGAGGTGTCCCTTCGTGTCAGAAACTCCCACGGAGCTGAGCAAATTAACAGTCTACTTCCAAAACCAGACCAAATTAAAAAAAAAATCTGGGTGAAAATAGCCACAATAGTTCCCATTAAAACTCTGCTAGTGCTTTTCTGCCTACAGGGAAACTTGAGCTGATCTTTTCTGGGTTCAGCTGGCTCTTCTCCATGATGTTTGCCCTTGAGCTTTTGTTAATGCCAGCTCTGAACACCCTTTCCAAACTGAGCTGTGAAATGCCTTGTGCGTGGCCGACTTCACAAGTAGTATTGTTTCTTTTATTAATTAAATTATTTCTATTTTGTTTCTCAGTGACACTTTCTGCTGCCACTCCTGCTTACTTTCGAGGATTCACACTGATTGCCCTCAAGGAGGGCAAAGAAGGGGACAAGGAAGAAGACCATGCGGGAACGTTTCAGGTGAGAGATCTTTCCCTGGATGGCGTCTCCAGGACTTTACCTTCCTCTGTGCTTTCCTGAAAGGGGGACAGTATTTCCACAGCAGAATGCAGAATATGCTTGAGTAAGAATAAATATCTGTAGATGTTGGCATGATGTGAGGGGGTTATAATATATCTAATATTCCATGCCATCTCTCAAAGAGGTTAAGGCATTTGTAACTTGACTTCAGCTTATCCTCCCTCTATTCTTACGGTTAAACGCAGGCATAAATGATTTGCGTAATTGGAACTTTTTGTTAGTCAAAACTAATATATGCATGATTTTATCCAAATCTTTTGCTTTATGGGTTGCATTTCTTTGTCTAGGTATTTTTGTCCATTCAAATGTAGATTATGCTTCTACATATAAGTAAATTGTGCTTCTAAGATTCTTTCCACAACTGTAATAATTATTTTATCAGTCATAAATTAGATTCTGCTCTCTTAAAGATGCTCATTATTACTTTACTTAATGAACTAATTGAGTGGGATGAAAAGCTGTTTGTCATAATAAAAAGAATCAGAATTGAGAGGTATGATTCACTAAATAATATTTTCAGTTATTTCAAGATGACATCACTGAAAGAATTCTGAATAAACCTGAGAATATACATCATATTTATGAAAGTGGATAGAAATTGTATAGGTTCGTGGTCTAATATTCTCACGTCACGTACTGTTTTTCTAGCTGTTTGACTTTCTGAATTTAGAAATATTATTATTTGTAATATTAGTTATAATTTACAGGTGATAGTGGTTTATGGAGAAAAGTTTTCACTTATCCCTAAGAGTAATTTCCATGTTTTCAAGAGTAATACTGAAGGATTAAAATTCTGAAGTGGGGGCAGGAATCAATCTAATCCTAACATCTATTCTGAAATTGTTTTTTGCTGTTAGCATATAGCGAATATAATGAGCAAACTTGGGCTACATTTGTTCTTTTTTTCCTGTCTATTCTATTTAGAGATTTCTTTCTTATTTTCATGCATTTGTAAGAGAATGTAGAATAAGTGATAACTTAATTGTTGGAATAATTCCACGTGCCCCAAGATGGCATGTTTTTCCAATATTATTTGGGGAAAATCTTTGAAATGGATGATTCCAAAGGAAAAAAAAAATCCTCAAAACCCTGCAATAATGTTAGGGAGTAGAAATGTTGGGCTTATTTAATTTTAAAAAGAATTTGTTACCATTCGTGTCTGTATTTCAGTTGTTATGGCTAATGGGAAGGATTTGGCGTGTGCTTTGCTGTTATGGCCAGCTGCGTGTCTAAGTCGTAATAAAGTGAGAAACTTGCTGGGCTTTGCTGAAGGAATTTTAAAATCAACAGAGAGTGGGAGGCAAATGGAAATTCTAAATAGATCCAGAAAAATAAAAAAGCCTAATGGATCTCTGTGGAGGGAACATTGTTTAGCTTTATTACATGAATTGCGATCTGAAATCAGTGTTTTAATTTGCACATGAGTTTCAGGTTTTCTGGATAACTAATTTTGTGGGCTTTGTGGCACAAGCAATGCTTGTTGTGCTCTTTCCACATTAGCACAGTTAGCAGATGTTCATTCAGATAGTGCCTGCCAGTGCTGCCTGTGTTAATACAGGATTTAAGACTCTTCAGTATCTCATGAATCCTGATACCTCTTGAATCATGTCCTTGTGTAACCAGTCGCAGGGGCTTGACCTTATAAATTTCACAAGTGCTAAAGTTCTTGGTTGACAAGTGTGTTTTCCTGTACTCTTTCATGCTTTTAGTACCTTTCTATTTGCCCTAAAGTAGAGAACCCTTACAGAAGGTTGTTCTCCATGGTTCTAAGTCAGCTCCTCACTGAGAAAACTGGGACTTTAAAGTCTGATTTTCGTGCAGTTTCTGTATCTAATGTGGCCAAACCTCTGCTCTGTCTCCATAAGCACAGTCAGGGTGCAATTTGGCTTCGAAATAAATTACAGTTTCCCACAAGCGCACAAGCATACGTTGACTAGCTAAACTGATTATAGCTGGGGACTTGAGGGTGCCAAATTAAGTCATGGAAGTTGCAAGCTGTAATAACATGGCTCTTAGGCCAGGGTGGCTGCAGCAGCCAGTGCCGCACAGCACTATGAAAGCTTAGGCTAGAGGGTCCTGCCTGGCCTCTTGTGCGAGCCCTTCCCAGCTGCTGTGGTGCTGCACCAGGCTGCTGAGCTTTGTGTTTGGTGATGTTTAGCAACTCTCTGCAAGTTGTTTGACAGCAATTTAAAGGCAAATTACACTCAGGGGCCACAATCAAGCACTGATTGAGGATAGAACAGTATCGGTACAGTCCAATCACTGTGCATAGCAAGTGCAATAGATTTAGTTTAGGAAATAATGCAAAATAATAGAAATTTAGTGCTGAACCTCATCTCCTCTGTCATGCTCTGAGGGAGAATAAATATTGTAAGAAAATTCTTGGTGGATTTTTGTTTTTTGGTATGCTTTTAAAAAGTTTTCAGGAAAAAAAAAAGAATCCATAATATAACCAGGTAGCTCATTAAAATGCTTCAATATTTACAGAAAGTTTAAAGAAAAACTTAGACCTTTCCCAAATGTCTAAATTGAGTCCTTACTAACATTTTCATTTGGTCTCCTAGCAGGCAATCCTAAATGAATGCTTTTAAGATATTTTAAAGGTGTTTATTCTGGAGTTACCTTTTCCAGAGCTGTGTCTGTAGTCAGCGTGAGCCCTTCTGCTTGGGCTCATATCAAATCCAGAGACCATAATCCCTTAGGATATCGCAATCGCTTCCCTTCTGGCACACAGAATTCTCCAAGTGCACGAGAATTTATTGCAGCAACGTCACAGCATTTGTGTGTGGTCCGAGATGAAGACCTAGATCCTTTCTTGCACATACAGCTGCCTCATTTTGTGTCTAGGCACATTATTCAATATGTAGGGTTGTGAATTTGAGTGAATTTGATCTTGACTGTGTTTTCAATTTATCAAGAAAACTTGGAGTTACAATCCTGTCTTTTAAAGCGCTCACAATTCCTTACAAATTGGTGCTGTTGCTGGGTTTTGTAAGTACTTGTTCATTTGATCTAACGGTTAAACAGCCTAAGTAATATTGTGTGCAAATGTTATCTTTCTCATGTATTTGGAGTCATAAAGGTACTTCTCTGACCATCTTCGGCGTTATCAGCTGTTATATTCCTGTGTCACACCAGTGTTTTTAGGATAGTTTTGTCTTTTGCTGATAGGAGAGTAAGTGGACTTGCCTTTCTTTACTTTAGAGTGAGCCAGGAATATCTTAGTTGTCATCGAGCTCACCACCCACGGAGGGAATCACCCATGGAAGAGTATAAGCAAGAAAATATTTAATGGAGTGAAGAGAGAAGAGTATAGAGTATAAGAAGAGCATAGAGTGTAAGCAAGAAAAATATTTAATAGAGTGAAGCTTTCATTAAAAGTACGACATTTGTAAAAGCTAAGAGGTATGTCCTAAAGAAGAAAACATGTAAAGAAGTTTGGAGTAGTAGTGGATAAGTAAGGAAATGGAATGGTCCTTTACTCTGAGGCCTCCTGCAAGACCTTGCTTTACCCTGATCAGGAGTGCCAAACACTGCCTTGGTTTTCAAAGACAGGCTGCCTTGTTGTCATTGCTGTTGTTTTGATACTGCTTAGCTGCCCCATCTGCTTAGCCAAGCCCTTAGAAAGGCAATTTCTCAATTGCTGTGATCTGGCATTGCTTAAGGGTTGCAAGATGGTTTTTCAAGTGCTTGACATACTTCACTTTGAAAGTAGCAGTCTTAAAAGGGTTGTAGCAGTGTCTCGTGACTTATCAGTTCTCATATGATATGCCAGTTTGGTTTGCTTTTGAAAAAATCTTAAAAGACAATTATTTCTTGAGTATTTTATACTGAAATAAAACTGTACTTGCCATGTTGCACTCAACCGTTCGGGTTGTTTTAACCTTATATGCCAACGTGAATACGTTAGGCTACTTGCAGATAACTTGAGATGTGTAAAATGATGCAGTTCTGTTTAACAAATGAGTTCAGAACGTTGCTAGCAGTTTGCTCATGTTTGGCTGCCCTGCGCTTACTTTGCTAGCATCTTATGAGAGCATCTTATATGGCAGAGTCTGTCATATAAGCATAGGGAAGCAATGGTTTTTTTTTGCTTTTTTGATGTGAAATGTTCAATCATCCAATGGCTTGCAGATCACATAAGATGAATTTCCAGTTCATAGTAAAACCATTAATTTAGCTTTCTTAGCAAAGCTTCCTCACAGGCTGGTGAATGAAAACAGTGTTTTTGTCTAAAATTCCAAATTTTAAAAATTCTTTCTTGAGGGAGGGCTGAAACATTAGAGGAGGGAAGTGTGATCCACAAGTGACATACAAATTGGCAGAAGGAAGGCAAAGAACAGACAAGATACTTACTGGTGGCTTAAAAACTAGTGGCTCTGTGGCCACCATATGTACACCTATATACCTGCATAACACATGTGTGCTTTTGGCAACCAGGAAAGGGCACAAGGCTCTGAGAACTACCTTCAAAGACAGGTGCAGTACCAAAACCACTGGCTGGGGGAGAGGGTTTGCAGTTGCATACAAGTCCCGGAATGAAAATTCTGTTTCTGAAGTTTTGATCGGTAGTTTCATCCGGAAACAGCGGTTATGCAGTCATTAAATTCACAGTCCAGCACCTCAATTAAGAGTGTATTAAAGATAAAAGGATGAGGAAATGCCAGGTATTTAAGAAGGGAGAGATGAATTCCAAGTCTGTAGTCTAAATGCTGTATTTGTCTCATTGTATTCCTGAACTTCTGCTAAAATACAATCTCTTCTTACTACTACTGAATGAGAATCATTGATATATTGTTCTAGATAGAACAAAGAATTGTATAACACTAATACAAGCTTTAGTTCACTTGCTCTTTAGGGTGGCATTGAGTGTCCTTGATAAAAATTTCAGTCCTTTCTAGAACTCCTTGACTTCCATTTCCTCATGTTCTGGGCATCAG